TCTGGAATTCTCAATGATGAAAACAAATCTAAGAAGTAAAGTTCTAGTTGAACCTCTTTACAACGAAACGCGGACTGGCCATAGAGCGTTTTCAATAAAAGCGTCTTGGACACTCCCTCTAAAACCAACCTTCTAGCTAGATCTTTTGTAGTTAGCGAAGCGTCTGAACCACTGTCTAGGAAAGAGCAAGTCTGTACCGCCCATTCTTCATTTTTTTAACCAACACAGGTACTATTGCAAATGCTACTAGTCTCTGTACACGCTTAACACTTTCCTACGTACAGAGTTCAGTATTAATGTGAGCATTACTATTACTTTCTCTCTGCTCTTCCTGCTTCCCGTGAAATATTCTATGTTGTCTTCAGCTACATTCTTGGATGGTACATGATCTCGGTGCTCAAAAGTTTCTTGCGATGTGGTTCACTCTCAGACAGACATTACACAGCTTCTTCCTCAATACAAACTCTATCCTTTCATTAAAATCCTTATCTCTAAACCTTTCACATTAGTCTAAGGGGTGGTTTCCAGTACATAATAAACGTGACAACCCAAGAGTCCTTGTTCTTACGTGTGGAGCAACGTCAGACCCACTATTGTTAGCGAACGACACTCTAGCTTTATACTCTAAATCAAGGTTGCGATTAGAATGATCGCCACTAACAAGTAATCCATATCCACTATTAGCAATGTCTGAATGCTCCTTCATAAATCGTCAAAAGTCCTTGAATGAGGGCTCTCTATCTATCTTAAGAATTCTATATGCAACTTTAAACCATTCTTTCTGTAAGTGTAGTGGGAGTTTTAAGAACACGCATTTGGTGGTCTTTGTAGAATTAAGATCGGATACATAGTTCATCTGCGTGTGTTAGCTCACAAACCTTATGATCTATCTCTTTGGTAGGTCTAAAGCTTTAGATATCATTGTCATCCAATCTTTTTCAAGAGAAATATCAACTGAACGCGAGACAGTTGAAGACTCGCACGACGTCACTTTGTGAGCCACAACCTAATCATAATGTTTTCTTTCCTTTTGACGTAACTGTTCTAACTCAATTACTTTTCCTGTATGAGCTAAGTGTAATTTAGCTAATTCTAACGCTAACTAGAGATCTATTCGGTGGGGGCTTAAACAACGATTTGATTGGCCATTTATGGACACAACTAACACGTTCTGATAGGTTCAGTCATATTTGTCTAATCAATAAGCTCAACCTATTAGGTTTTGAGTCACTTCACTTCATATTCAAATAAAAGACCTATTAAACTCGAGACAAACCTTGCTTTTTCTCGGGCTACGAAGTGAGGTTTTCGTGTCAGCGGGTACCTATGTATGCACTTCAGATTTTGTGGGGTATCGGTTAGCTTCACAGTGCGAAGTAGTCTATGTGGGACATACAGCAGAATACGCCTACAACTCTAGTAACCTTCTTTTAGTGGTGTCGTGAGTTGGTAGCTTTTGCTCTGGTCCTACTCTTTAAAATATACCTTTGGAGCGGACCTTGTACAGGTAATGTTGAGACACATTTGTGGCTAGCTTGACAGTAGAACTTTCAACCTAATCTTTGACAGTTTTGTTCAGTCCCATTTACATGATAGGAACATATTGTTCCCTTCATCGCTCCAAAAGGATAGGGATGCATAAGAGGTTATTCAAATGTTAAGAACTAAACAGCTTGAGAACTAAATTTCAAACGTTATCAAAACACACCCGAAGCCACCTGATTTTCACCCATTGGAGGATAGGCTTCACAGATGTTACCTATTAACTTGTGGCGTCATAAAAACTCGTGAGTACTCTGGTAAATACTTAACTAGACTCAGTTCCAACACAAAATTTGGTAAATTAGAAATGAAGCATAACAGTAGAAGTCGTAAACACACTCCTGAGATTCCACAAGTATTCGGATTTTGATAACATACTTAGCTGTAATATCTTCTTGATTGAAGGTCACCAGTTCAATTAAATATGAAACCAGAAATGGAGCAGCACGGAGACATACTTACCAGGTTATCGATATATTGAGTAGCGTCTGATCCAAGCTGGCTAGTAGTTTTAAGGTATGCGTAGCACGGCATTCTCAGTTGTGATTGGGTGTGAATGTTTGACAGAACTGTCTCAGCTAGTGTGTGCAGTAAAACTAATAAGGCCGTCATCAATGCCAAAGACCTACAGAACCATTTGTTTTGGGGGTTTACAATCTCCATAACCCTTCACTCTTTACAAGTAGTCAAATTCTGAAATTGGCTGTTGGCTGAGGTGGTCCAAGTAACTTCCGACGAGTCCTTCAAAAGGAAAAATTACATATTCTTCGGTACCCAAATTGACTTTTCGTTATAATCTACCAATATTTCTCCTTCGTTAGTTAAATATGCCTAGTTTCCTACATTGAGGCATAAAGAGCTTTTGAACCATATTAGTCTCATAAGTTAGGTACGTACGGTAATTGGTAGTCTGAGAAGTGATGGAATTATTCTTTCATACTTTTTGGAACTCCCTTAAGAATTCAATCCAGCTTTCGAAACGTCTGTTTAGTATTATGCGTTGAAACGCCTCGCTTAAGTCGACTCGAATGTCTTTTGAACATGAATCACCACAAACAACACTTAATTATCATTAAAAAGTTATTTCTTGAGATAACACTTTTATACGGGAAGAAAGTACTACAAACATTTAAGACTTACCGATTACTCAACTTTTTGTCCTAATTCTTGCGGAAAACAACAATTCACGCAAACTCAGAGTACCTTTGACTGTTAAGTTATTCTCAATACGCTGTTTTGTGGACCCAAACAAATTTTAAACAGGGACAGCGAGGTTCAGTAGGGTGATTTTATTTATTTAAACACATACATATTGGTACAAAGGGGCACCAGATAGATATGCGCCACACTTCAGAGAAAGCTAAATTAACGCTCTTCGCATTGATTTCGCGAATTTACTGCAGCGAAACACAACACACATATGAGAAAACCTGAAATTCGTGCAATCCAATGGACACCCATCAGACCATCAGCAACTTAAATACGGAATGACCGCCCCTTATCAGGCCTTTCAAGGTCGTTAAATTGAAACGGCGGGCGGCTTTGTAAGGCTCTGACTTTTTTGCCGTGCCGTAAGGATGTAGGTGGCTGCTATTGTGGTCAAGGATAGGTAGTAGATAAATCTTGTGTTGTGTTTCTATTATTACCGTGTATTTTTTGACAAAGTACAACTACAGATGACTACTAGTAATTATGTCGCCCATGTATACATGGGCGACATAATAATTAGTAAATATATTTACTAATCTTCACCAAGATATCTCAACGAACATCATTTCAGTATTGGTTGTATTGTTCAGTTGTTACTTCACTTATATCGATATAGGCGTTTTCACCGTTAACTAAGATTTGTATAGTCCAGTCGATAATTAAAAGCTATCTCTGTTTTGCTAAAGAACGAGTTGAAAAGTAATCAGCTTCTGTGCCTTTATAGATACCATCGTATGATAGCTTTTCTTAATTTATGGGTTTATTGCTCGAATGCAGTCACATAATTTGGCTATGCAAAATCACCTTATTTTGTAAATACTCGGTTATCACATCGCCGAAATTAGAGAAGCTTATGATCGACAGTTAGCGTTTTCGTTAGAACTGTGCTCTTTGACCTAGAAACTGTTATCAAACCAGGTTAGTTGACCAATATACTTGACCTTTGCCTAAACACAATTGGTTGTTATAATTTATTTTGGGTTTTCATGTAACGTGTATCATTCTAATATACCTGATCCATGACTTGCTATTGAAGTAACATAGTTTCCTTTAAGTACTCTAATTAACGATACAAAAGTGTTCGATCTTCCCAAATATCAACTTGTTGAAAACTAATTTAATTGCCTATTTTATAAAACGAATAATCTAAGTAGTCGATCTCGAACTACTCTGCCATAGATATTTTATCATCGCAACACTAGATCGGAAATAAAGTGATCAGATTTGGACGAAATCATTCCCTGAAGTAATTGCTTCTTCGTCTTATCCGTATCGTGACGTGCAAATTTTTCAACTGAAGTTCTTGAGATCCGTAATATCTAGATGTCATTTCACAAAAATGACCAATTGAAATAAATCACTAGTGACACTTTAAGGAATGATCGACTTCAACTTTATAGTGCTGATTTTATGGTCTAGTAAATCGTAGAACTTGTATTGGCAATGTGATAAATAGAAGTGGTGTTGACTTCAGAACCAAACGTCTATAACCATTTCAACGAAAGGGCCAGAGTAGCTAATTTCAATTATCCAAGGATAGGTACCTCAAATACTCTATAATGTGATTAAGTTAACAATAAGACTTTTCTTAGGCCTGGGATTCGCTTTTTTAGTCTTATATGTTCACAAGAACATTCTGGCTTTGAAGCTTACATAGCTTAGCTGATTGAGTACGATAGGCGATTTGAATGGACTTGAAGTTTTCTATCGTAGTTTAAGAAGCTTAAAGTTGTTGTTCCCAGAACGTGTGAACAATATTCGCATGCCAGTTTAGGATCACTGATAACTCTGTCTCATTTAGTCTGCTAGTATAACTGTTTGGTCTTCAGAATAAGCCTTTTCAGATTTGAAAATTAGTCTTGTCATCTTCTTTACTCTATTAATGGCAGGTTACACGTGCTCCTTGTAATCGATGACGTGTTTTTATCCTTCACTTGTTCTGTTTCTACATGGATCAAACGTCTCTAACTTCGGAAAGCAGTCGTAACTATTTCTTACCAGTAAACTGAATTTTTGTGCATAAGTTAAGAGAATTCACACCATTGACGAAGTTTTTCATCCATTTTCATTCATCTAGTTAACTCCCTCTCGATAAGGCCGTATTAAGTATGACAACTGAAACAGATACTTTTTTCGCCATTTTGTGAATTGTTTATTACTGTTGTTTTTTATGTATTTCTCGCACTATCACAAATAGTTCAAAGTTACTCTTATAATATTTGTTTTACCATACAGCTGACTGGTCAGATATGAAAATTAATTGGAAGTGCCCTGACTGGAAGACTTATACTCTTGATCCTCCTCCCTTGAAAGAGCACGTTGAAAAGCTGGCCAAACTAGGTTTGAAAGATCCATGGGCTCGGTAGGTGTTATAACTCCGTTGTTTTTGGAAAAGTCAGTATGTGTTGACTAATTTTTACCATAGTTGGTCAAAATAAATCATTTTTGTTTGTGACACTGTTTGGATGATACTTAAAATACCAAAGCTAATGTATTGTGATAAATGTACTACATTCTGTTATGCCGTTGTACAATAATTACCAAAAGTAGTAGATACGTATAAGTTTCAGATATTCTTTAATATATATTTTCAAAGCGTTTGTCATTTATTGCGAAATTGACAAGTAAGCATTATTTTCCATTATATCATACTAAGCAAAGATGGGCACATCACTAGATGATGGTGGAAATATCCATGGGATAAATTGACTGAAGTATTTCTTATACACTATTATACCATAAATTTGCCCACTATTCCGAGTCACTGCAATGTCCGTTGCAAGAAGGTTAAGGATGGTCAAGTGTAGAAATAATAAAAGTACATAAAATTCTTAATAATCCGTCTGAGCCTCTAAGTTAGGTACACGTTCCTTGTTTCTGATTCGGGAGATAATGAGTCAATAATTGGAAACCTTAAATGTCAAAATTTCAAAACGATTACTGCTTTGAAAAATTCATTCTTCACTATCCAAAAAGTCCGAAACACCACTTGCCACTGCTTGTTTCCTCTTCTACTACTAGTTCTCTAATATTATAGTTAACTGTATTGTTACTCTCTTGCTTTTCTTCCTGTTGGTTCCTGCGTCTAACAAAATGTGTTAATTTTATTTGATGTATATTCGTAGCGGTTCCTACGTTATTTACATTTTTATTACACCTGGTCATCAATATTTCCTTCCCACTTGGTGTTACACTGAGTTGGATGCAGAAATTTTATGTTATTACTTTAATTATTAGCTGATTCCATCAATTTGGTACATAGAAACATAACCAATCGGCCTGAACGCCTTGAACTCTCTGGAAAATAAATATTTTCCCCCTATCTCATATTTCTTAGTTATGGTGCACACGTGGTTGAGTGAATGCTCTCATACAATTGTTAGGACCTTATTTAGTGCTTTGTTTGAAGTAGTTAATGAAGTGTATCTATACACTGTTGTCTTCATCTCTTGAGTTCCCTATAACTTACTAAATTCCGGAACTAACTATAATATTTCAATGATACACATCATCCCAACAATTACTTCAGACTAGACTTCAGTCTAGCTTGCTACACTTTGAAACAACACAGAAAAAGGAATATATATGCAAGCGGACGGAAAATGAATGCAAGTTAAAATAACTAGATATCCACCAATTGACTGTTTAATTTTTTTTTCAAAGGATCGGAATTGGATACATCTTCGAAACTATAACTTTCGTTTTTCATATTTTGAACAGTTTGGATTGAAAAGGTAGATGACCAACAACTACCTACAATTTTCCAGTTTCAGTTGCCAGGATAACGTTTTGGGTATACTTAGTGTTTTGTGACCGGCGTCTAGACTCTCTGAATAATGAACAGTGATTATGAAATATAATTCTCCATTTAATCTGTCAGCTAAAAACCTTGACTAACCTCACTTGTACAACAGTGATATTTAAAAGCCAACTACAAAGTGCTCCGAAAAAATTTATTCGAGGTATTTATGGGGAACTAGACAGATGGTAAAACTTGATAGATTAATGTAGTATGACTCGAAATGTTCTTACATTGCCACGTGCATACAGCCACTGCCAGGGAAGTCTTACTTAGTCCCTTCTCGCGGCGGGGTTGTTGTTTACGAAATTGAGAAGACGAAAAGCGAATGTCCGTCACGTTAACCTGGTTGTTGGGCATGGAGGGTCCACCTACGGTAGTTGGCAAACCCTGATTCCAAACCAATGGTGTACATGGACTCCAGTATCCTGATGGAACGAATGGCGTATGAACCAATCGTTGATCACCGGCTACCATGGGACTGCATCTTCTGACGTCGCTCCACTGCCTTGTGTACTAGTCCAATCCAATTACATGCGAGTCGATAGGTGACCGATCAGCGTGTAAATAAAGATAGACATATGTCTATGCGTGGATATATAAAACCATTCAAAGTTATAATTGAGTATTTAAGAAAGACAAATACATAGGTGTATGGGACTACTTCACGTAGTCGTTATAAGGAGTTTATATTGTTCACTACAAGTACCCTTGATTCGGTTTACTGGAGTCAGAGATTCAAAGTATCCCTTTGATGTTTACTGTCTATTCTTTATTGAAAAGCAGGTTCGGAATAATGTTTTGTTAAACAAATATGTTATACTTTCTAATTCTGTTATGTCCTTCGTGATTTACATAACAACTGAAATCATGAAGAACAACTTGGAAAATTCCTGAACAACTATTTCGTTTTCCAATATTTCATATATTAGTCCATAGTCCAAATTCTACCAGTTTCTCATCCACATTGAGGTTCTCTACTGTTAGTAACCTATTTTTTATGATTGTAGTGTTGTGAGTATTTGTCAACAGAAAATAATAGATTGCTCCAAATATTTGTCGCTAAAAAGTGTCTTTTCCTTAAATTTTCTATTTTTCAGTAATTATGCCTGGCAATATTTACCGAAAATTTACAAAACTCGCCCTCAGCTGTTCAGAGAAGTACTTCTTGCAAGACTACCTCATGGTATAGCTCTAGGAATTGCAGTTTCGATCTTAATAAATCAATTTGACAGATGGCTTAAAGGCGGATCCAGTGAAGCAAAACATTAACATGTCATCTCGTTTTGTTCGACTTTTTAATTTTCGTTTAAATTAGTGTTAGAACTTCAGGTATTATGTCATTTGTGAATGAAAAAAATTAACGAAATAATTCGGAATTTTAAAATATGTAAACATGATTCATTTGTTCAGTGCTTTGCGTAAATGGGGGTGCATTTGGAAATTAGATACTCAAGTTTAATGGTCACCTGTCCAAGCATTTACTTTCAGTTTCTTTGATTAATTTTCGTTTGGATTGTTTATAATGAAATAATGTGTCGCGTCCAGATGTTAAGTGAAATTATGAAATCGCAACTATTTAAAGGGAATCTATGTAGTTAGTTGGATTCCTTTCAATTATGAAATATGGGTCAAGTTCTCTTTTCCGCGAGGTATTCTTTCTATTTTATCATTTATTCATTTAAGGGAGATGATTGATTTCCAGTTACCTTTGCGGAGTTTTCGTTTCATATCTACTGCTGCCGAGGTAGAAAAAGTATAATACTGTAGTATATGTTATGTACTCTATCAAACTTACTGATGTACTTTCTACGTTAACACCATTCTGAAGGAATTTGTTTTTTTTTATTAGAATGTATCTTCAGTAGTCAACTGGATCGATGAAGAACTTAGATTTAACTTAAAGAATAAAAAGGCCCATATTTGGCGATTATTGATTCTTTTGAATTTTAGAATCCTTTCTAAAATAATTTGTGCTGCTCAGTTACTGTTGGCGACACATCTGACGTTCCTAGATTATTCTATAGTCTATGCTTTCGCATGAACAGATAGTGAGCGAATTGAACAGTTGTAACAATCACCGGTTTTGATTGATGGATTTAAAAAATATTAAAATGCCCACGTGACTTTAAGCTGTACGAGATTTGTTAATGGAGACAAAGATGACAGTTGTTTGTCTCTATGTATTGATCTTCAATGGCAAATGTTTCGTCTTAAGTCTACTTAACTTCATTGTAGAACGGGATATTACGTTGTTTAGAACGGTATTTTGTTCTTGAACTTATGCTAAATATGGCTGATATGCAGTCGTATAGAACTCGACACTACACCTGTTGAGAAGCAGAATTTTTCTCTGTATTGCGTTTTAATTAAATTCCATAGGGGGGAAATACTTGAATTTATGTTTTAACTACTGTTAAGATGTTAGTAGTGTGAACAAATTTCTTAGTTTGTAAAGAAATTAAATTTAGTGATTATATATGCTTTTCGCTATATAACACGTACTTTAAGGTCTCAAACATCTTCGTAACTGGAAGGAAAACAGTTTATATTATTAAGAAATAGCTAACTGAAAGGTTAATTATTTACGTGTTTATTTGAGAAATTTTCTGGTCGAATTTAATTTGATTCAAAATATCATATCGATATGGTCGACTGTTTCAAATCTTGACTGAATAATCATTAAATGATAACTAACTAGGTAAATACGTGTTATAAGATGCAATCTATCAGTAAGAAAGTAAATATTTATTATGATTACCAGTTCATTACTTGATTGGAAAGGTTAATCTAAGAAATATATACTAATCGAAATAGTCATGGAGTAATCACTTCTACTTATTGAGTTTAATATTAATGTACTAATGAATTTCTTTTCTCAGCTCTAAAATTTAATGTATCTTTGTTTGCTCTAACTCTCAGTGTTCTCTATATAGGAATAAACAATCGGTAAATTAACAATTGACATGTAGTACCATTATAAGGACTAACTATTTGTTAGTTTGAAATTTTATGAAACATTCTTAGTTTCAGGAATCGGTGGATATAAACGTAATATGTCGTATTCAAAAACTGTCCTCTTTTGTGATTTAAATGAGCTTTAATAGGGAAGCTATGAATCAGTAATTTTATTGTCACAAATTATCAAATAAACTTAAGCGACAAAACCATTGTCCAATAACTGATTGGCTATGAACTTTTTGTTACGGAAGGCAAATAATATCCTTGAGGAATTTTACAGAATCTTTGCCAGTATACACAGCGTTGGTTAATTTGACAGAAGAGAGATAGGCTCTAAAAATATGATTTTAAACACGGAATATTTTTCAAACAAATTTAACACTGTGTAGATTGTATTTGCAACCTGTTATTTGAAGAAGCGATTTACACTAGGTCACCAAACACCAGAAATCCAATCTTCGCATTATGATGTTACTAGTGTTATTATTGGTCATCGTTGTATTGTAATTATTAGTCGGTTTTCAGGTAGTACATTGCCGAGACTTTTAAATAATCCCCAGTGAAGTTTAGATTGTGCATGTCCTTCATTAATCGGAAATGTTTTTTTTCATGTACTGTCTGATTATTGGTACGAATTCCGTCTGATCATCATCCAAATAAACCATAGTTTCCAACCATAAAATTGTTCTTATTGATATTTCCGTCATGCAGTCGCATCCATCACAAGACTATATTGGTATTTCAGAGTGGTGTACTGGCTAATAATATTCCACCTCTATTCATAATTTGCCATTTGCACGTGGAGAAAGATAAACAACTTATCACTAAATCATTTACACAACAGATTTGTTAATACTTTAAGTCATACCTCTGTGTGTAACATGAACATGAATTCTTATTATAGTTGCTGTGATTTTTTATTTTAACTTTGATATATGTATTTTTGATCTGTTTCACCTTATCACCAGTAGTTTTTGCCTCTTTTCACCACAGTCTAATACAGGCTGAAATGCACTTATTTCAAAATAAACATGTAGCCAGTTTGCCGAACGAAATTATGTTACATAGCGGTTCTTTCTAGTAGGAGTATTTTGATTTAAGTTTAATAATTGTCCGTACTTATTAATAAAACATTTGCCTTGAAAATTCTTCGTACTGCGATCTTAATGACTAGTAAATGTTTAAAATCAGAGTTAGAATCTTACGTTTTCGACTAGTGAGGTGGCAACAGGTAATTTCTGATCAATTGGTTTCAGTTAACACTCATGATCTGAGGACGTAGGTCGCCAACCAGTAGATAAAGTTTTGTTTGACAGTAGAGCATTTACAGATTGCATAGCTATGATATACATACTCTTACCAGTTTTTTCTCACTTATCCAGAAACATTATACATCCTTGTTTCCTTTCAACAATGGAATAGAAGAATTCTTGTATAGGATTGTGTAATGGAATTCTTGAAAAGTTAACAAATCTGAATGGTTTTCAGGGTAAAATGACAGCATTCATTTACATCACTTGTGAAACACAAGCTAACACTTCGTTGTCAGAAACAACCAATATTTTGGAGTATTCTATGGCTTGAAACTATGCTAAAATTGAAACTGCTTTCTTTTTTTTTTAAAGAAAATCCATATTCATCCTAATGAACTTTTTCTGCGTCTGACATCTAGAATTGTTTAATTCAATTTTTTCTAGAGTCCATACAAACCATTAAAAAATTCTTTAGTTTAGAACTAGGAAAATTCATCTCTGCATAGAAATTGTTTGTTTTATGGGAAAGAAAACTATTTTTACCTTTAAAATTTTTTTATGGTTATATATTTTAACTTATCAAGTACTCTATTCTTTTTTTGTGTGTGTATGAGTATTGAATATTTGTTTCAATCACCTATACACTTCTTTTTATTCCCTCATCTGACCTTAATGGACAGATGTGCTCTTAAACTGTGAAATTTACCCATAGATATTTAGTCAACAGAAAGAAGATAATAAAACGTTATGGTTTACGTATAAAATTTTTTTCAATCTTATTTACCATTATAATTAGGTCAAAACTAGTGTGTGTGAAAAAAGTGGAGGCGAGAAAATTGAAAAAAAATTTACAAACTAGTACGTTAGAAATGACCTCTTGTATGTGTATTTGTGTATCAAACACATCGTATGTTTGTATTGATTTAAGTATATATGCGTAGGTACGGGGATATTTATTTGTAATATCTACCCCACCATTTACAAATAATATGGAGAATGAAATATACAGATTATATCAGAAGTATATTACAAGAGGAACGCACCCATTTCTTCTTTACACTCGTCATCAATACCAGATCACCAGCCCACAAAACGGTATAAGGTTTTTGCGTTTTAGAGAAATTATATTTTCCGGTAAATAATTTTAATCTGTTGAAGGAACGAAGATTCTTACACCATGTAATAAATGAATTCCATTTATTTCAATGGTAAACTTGGATTTCTTCATATTCTAGTCAAATTCTTGCATTCGCTAAGCCAATTGTAATATCAGTGACCCAATACTTGTGACACGTTTCAGGTACTACTCAAATGTAAGTTACAGGTTGGTGCACTCGGGCATGGCGTATATTTATTGTGTAATAAATGGTGATAATATTCGGCTGCTAAATCGTATTCGCTATTGCATAGTTTAAACATAATACTCAAAATTTGTGTTTAAAATGCTCTAACATTATCTTTTTACTCTTAAGTACTATATAATCGTCATAACATTGTAAGCTGTATTTCTTTTTTTAACTTTTTTCCCTCTCTCGTATCGATTATATTGTTCTTGAATATTTAATTATGATCTGATACACAATATCTATTACATATTACGTATACAAATACTCTGTGTTATAAAGACAACTTTTCCTCAAAACCTTGTGAGAGCTCTTTACTCGAACACAACAAATCGAGTCAGAGCTTGTGACGAACTGTCATCCGATTTTGCAACTTCGAGTGTCGTCTGGAAGGGCTGTCCACTATCTCTATTTTTGTTCAATTTCATCACAGACCTACCTTCGGAAATAACGTTCTCATCGTCTGAATTTTCGGCAGTTGATCTACCAGGAGGTCCACATAGAATACGCAGATGACATAGTCCTGTTTGATGAATGCGCTGATAAAATCCAGAGTCTTTTGGTAGCACTAAGCAACAAGCCAGAATGTTTGGGATGCGTTTCTTTCCCTTTAAATGCAAGCTGTTGCTCCAGGACTGGCCTCCGTCAACACCTGAAGTAAGGATAAGGAGTTAAATAGTCGAACACGTCTATAACCTCACTTATCCTGGAAGTCTTATCAATCCTAATGAATTGGTTTCTGACGAAATCTCTACACGGAT